TGTAAGACAGGCGAAAATAAACTCAAATTTATTTTATTTTGACTTAAATATTCCAGTTAAAAACCTTGTTATTTTCATATTATTGTTGACGTATCACCGAATATTATGTATGTAACGTACAGTGAATTTTCTTGTAAGTTGCTTCTGACGCTTAGAAGCTCAAACAGTTACTCATAGGCTAATCGGAACAGTGTTCAGTATTCAGGTAGCGAATTGTGGGTCAGTGAGGTTTATCCGTGACTATAATCCACTTAAGACATTGTTAACCAAATACTACTCAGTTTTGCCACATTCGGCCCACATCTTTTCAGTTTCTTCGTCCATTATCATCATACTACACATCATTTGTTGCTATGTGACAACAGTAGTTGATACAGCGTTGTAAAATACGCAAATAATATGTTCACTTATAATATTTGTAATTTTTTACAATCGCTTATCTCAAGTCGGTTCTGTACGTTTAATCTAAGGCCTGATTTGTAATAATTTATTTCGACTGTGTAAATATAAAGAAGCGCCGATTTGTAAGTGGTAAACTGTGAATGATGTGAGATTAAGAATTCGTATTCGCCTTGACGGGCTGAGATAAACGGCAAACACTTTAAATCACTGCAGCCAGCCTGTGGGCAATAAATCCAACCTAGGACGTTCCGAACACACAGTAATATAACTTACCACTTAACTACTGATATTTGATATGAGAAGTCTACTAGGCCTTAAATTAAATTACCAGTTGATACAGTATTATCAAATACAAGTTATCATTATTGAACATTAAACAGTATCTGTAAACCTACTTTCCAGTTATATTGTTTGTATTTCGAGAGTTGGCGCCATGCTATAATTCGTGTACTTATATTGGACTTTTGCCAGATTTATTTACAGTTAGTTGCCTCTTACGGTGAAAGTAATAGGGTGTGTACTGGGAAGAGTGAAAGTGTCAGAGAAAGCAATATCACATGCATCGTTGCAGTTTAAGTAGACTACATTGGTTGTTATGTTATTTTTCTGTCATTACATTCATTGTTCGTTACTGATGGTTGCTAATGTGGCGAAAGTTTGTCACTGGAGCTGGGTCATGGAATTAAACATTTCCCCATAATGGGGCGCTTTGCCTACCACGTCTTCTGTGTTTCCATGCTGTGTCATATGATGCTTAGTCAAGCGCGTAACTTAACCTTGTTCTTGTACGTTCTTCATTTGAGCGTACAAATCCTTACAGGTCTGAATCGCCTCTTTCGTTGTACTAATGGGATTCATAATAAACGCAGGTTGATAAAGTCATATTAGAAGGTCTTGTTAAGCTGAAAGCTAGAAATGTATTCTTAACGCCTTGGTCAGCCAGATAAAAGATGTACCTTTGTCTCTTTGAAACTCTCTGGAAACAGATCCACGTTTCGCCGACATGTCACCGTGGCAACGTCGCCATATCTTTTTACTGGTGATGATGCAAAGAATGTAGGACAGTAACGGCTTGTTCTCGGTAAATAATTCCAACAGTTGAGTCTGGAAACATGATTTTCAATAATTTTTACTTCTGGACTTATGGGACATTCTGTATTTATGTGAATAAGGACAGAGTGAAGTTTAGAGGAGGACAGAATAACAATATGGAGTGCCGAGACTCCAATAAAAAAGAATCTTCCAGATGACAGGTCAAGTTCAATGTTAGAATGAGTCGTCGCCATTAAAATATGATGCAGTTGTCACAGAAAAGTGGAGAAACTAACTTTCTCACACAATTGGCTCCAACAAAGAATTCTGGAGTGAAAGAAATTTCACTGTAATGGAATTAAATTATCTCAAAATGTACCCATGTGTGTCAAATAGTTCAGTTACGATCCGTGTGAAATCAGACGTTGATTCTGAGTGCTTCTCCATATTTCGTATCGTCCTAAGGCAGAACATTCCAAGGAATTTTGTGGTTTTCATCAGCACCTTAAATAGACCACGACAGCTTCCTTCCATATTCTTCCAATTTTATCTTTCAAAATAATTCTCCATTGAAACGATGTGTTTGGTACTTTATAATAATGGCTTAAGTGGAACGTAAGTTATACGAACTTAAGTCTTTTTATCAAGTGCCGAATATTTATTTATGGTTTATATAACGATAGTATCAGTAACTCGGATTATATGGCGTCCGGTGATAGGATGATTAATGCATAAGGAGTTCGATAGGATTTGTAACGAATTAGTCGTGGTCTAATTTAAAAATTTATCGCGGACCGAAAAACAGAACTCCCGAATACGAAACAGGATTGATGCTCAAATATATAATCTATATAATTTATTCAGGAAAGGGTTAAATATAGGTTTATGATTCAGCAATTTATTAGTATGGAAGCAAGATTTCTTTAAACATGCATAAACTTGGGAATGATTAATAACATTATGTTTCGTGATTATTTTAAGTGTATCTAGAACAAAAAAATATTCCATTTATTATTTGGGTAAAAGTAATGGCAAGTAATAGTCAGAGCTTGTACAGATAATTTCATTATATAAACAACAGAACCATCATTTCCTTGTATAATTATAGACCATAAACAACTTATTCTAATTATTATTCATTAAACTATTACAATATCAACAATTCTTATCGAAATTATTATTATTATTAATATTATTATTATTATTATTATTATTATTATTGTTGGTGTCTATTTACATATCCACTGTAAGCTGAGGAAACACAAACAGGGGAAGGTATTACAAGTTTTCCGGATTTAGGTTTTCTCTGGTTACATATTTCGTATATGGCAATCATAACGAGTTCGTTTAAGTGGGATGAAATCAAACGAAACTGGAATTATGTGTGTGTTCGTTCATTTTTTGTATTAAAATTTGGAACAGATTTACCACCTTTCTCGACTGAGCCAAAAGAAGGCCTAGATTGATAGAAAGATAAGCAGTCACTTACAAGGCCTGTTTAAAAATTAACTATGTCTAGGGACTAAGCATGCTTATCTGTCTGGATTGCAGTTTAGGCCTAAATCTTTAAATATAATGTCTTTCAAACTTTCGCTAACTGCAGAGGTTCATCTCTTCATGTTTTCAAAGGCTTTGACTAATTTAATCATGTATTAAAATCACATCGGATATCCATTACCGTGTCGTTTGTCTAGGGAAATAATCATTGTTATTTTAAGAACCAGTGGAAACGACAAATACATTCTGAGAGCAAAACGCAGTTTGAACATGTTCTATTAACAGTAACCACCACACTGCCTAGAATTAATAACCATTAATTACAAATTTCCTTACAATTATTCTGCGTCTATAACCTCAAAGTCTGCATTTTTCCACAGATCATTTTGGGCTTTCTATAGGCGATGTAATTTTGAGAAAATTGCTCCAAATATGTCAATAAATGGACAGATACGATATAATAATGTCCAGAAATTTAATACCTGAACAAATTCGTGGTTTATAAAACGAAAAAACCTATTTATAAAATATCGTCAACTTGTAGTAGTAGGAGCTCTTCCGTGCGCCTCGACGCCATAGTGTCGTTCAGCGTCGACCAACTGTTGTCCTAGTATATGACACCGGAAGATCCCGAATCTCAACAGAACTCAGATATTTCCTTTTCAGGTGTGCAAAAGTGCAGTAATTCAACTAGACTCGACACTAAACATAATTTTTACAAGTCTGGGTCTCGTTTTCAGGTACGAGTCGGTGTTTGGACAACACTGTCATAATTTAGTCTATTGGCACGAGTAAGGTGGTTTCTCCGTAGCAAGTTAACGATGTATTTTTGCAAAAAAATAGACAGTGGTAGATAAACCGAACGGACAGTTCCGCTCTAAATGATCAACAGGTTTTTGTAAACACAATCCAGTATTCGGCTGACCATTTAAGACAGAAAAATTACATTCTTTGACAAGAGATTATCCACTGACTTATTTAAGAATTAAAATTATAATGTGGCTGTCTTTTGATTGTTGCGCAGTGTAATCTGGTAGATGTTTACCGAAGTTTCTGAAGTGCTTGCTGTACCCAGTCAGGATGATTACAGCCATCGTCACACTAACCACTACGAGAACAAAAACTTTCACTAAAATTATGAAATTTTACTACGTTTCGAAGTATTGCCAGCCTCCGAAACATAGTAAATCTTATAATTTCATTGTCTTTAATTTTAAATATCAGACAATGGATGTCTTCTCAATGAACCATAATAGCATTAGTGCAAAAATGTCGAAAAGAAATTTTAATAACAAGATATTAAATAGATATTTTTCATATTTAGCAGGCGGTCAGAATTTTAATTTTCTGATAAAGAGTCTGTCTATGTTTGATACTTAAGCTGTAGCTTCGTCTTCAATGAGTTTAACCTACTACAATACTTCACTGTAGTCAGAAAACAACTCGAATAGAAAACACGAGGCCCTTGGAAAAATGCCTGGATTTTCGTGGCAAACGTTTTACCTTTTCAAGAAACTTTTTCTTTGATTGTCCTTGGTACAATATGGAGAAATGCTGGTTATATTACACTGACACAATTGGAAAATTAAGTCGTCTGGGCTGATTCATGTACCGATATAGCGAAAAAGGCTAGAATAATTTGATATGAGAGGCAGTCAGTCATTAGTGTTAAAGACTCTCGACGTTTCTCTTCCACGACAAATGCACTTTTCTAATATCACACAGTCATTTCCCTAAGGAAAATGTTCATTGCATACAGACTCAAAATATCTCCGCGGAAAGGACAGCTGTTGGAGAGTATCTCACGCTGTTACCGTAGCAAAAGAAGCAACTGGTTATTCTCCGCGCAAAGCGCTACAGTTTCTCCTGGACAGCGCGCCTAAGTTCTTCAGTTGCCTTCGCGAGTTCCCGGGACGTATAATCCCCACGCTTTCCCTTCTCATCCCGTGGGTCGTCCAGGCCCCCGACACTGTAATCCTTTGGTGGTTCTGTGGGGTAGCCACCCGCATGGCGACCCGACGCGAATTTGGGCCGCGGAATGCGAACCCTTTTCACGTCCAGTAGCCACGACTCCATCTCACCGCCTGCAAAAAATTTAGGAACTGAGCCCTTACTTATAATACATTTCAGATTAATTTAACAAAATAAATAACACTAGATGTAAGTAAGAAAACTGCAGCTGTAAAGCACATTAACATTCGGTTTCAACGGTGGTTTTGTATATCTCTGAAACTTGGCTCCTTTCCAGTGGTCTTCTCGGGATATATGACATGTGAGAACGGTGATGTAATGCAACGTATCAGGAAACTGTTTCTGCCTCTGTCATCAGGTTATTTGATTGTATTTAGTCTCTTTTCATCTCTTTTTGTCTAAAGGAAAGCAAGAGATTTAACGCGTCATTTAATCTGTTAAAAGAATGTACGTTCGAGCTGAGGGAGAAATTTACATAAAGACCAAGACGCATGTGGCAGAATAATATTAGAATTAGCAGTAAATAAATGAGTTCATTTGGGAATATGACAAAGAAATTATTGGCTACGATCCGGATAACAGGTATTCAGTTCCCGTAAGAGGTAATAATTTTACTCCTGAAGATGGCTGTCTTCTGGGTTGTTGCGCCGGGCAGTCTGCTAGAAGTTTACTGACGTTTCAGAGGTCCTTTCTGCCTCCATAACGAAGATGATGGAGGCAGCAAGGTCCTCTTAAACACCAATAAACTTCTACCAGACAACCCAGAAGACAGCCATCTTCAGACTCACCGCCGTGAACTCCTCATATCCTATAATTTTACTCATCACCACGTTCAGAGTGGACCTTCGACTCCTATAAGAAGGAGATGTGTCTGTTTCATTGTAGGGCAGTTCCCCTGGAAAGACTAGGAAAAGCATGAAAATTCTCACTCAGATAATCCCCCACTGCCGATAATTAAAGCAGGAACGTCCAGAATAGAAGTGTCGATGTTTGTAGCTACACCAACCTGGTAACTGGTACTGCATAACTGGATGTAGTCAAAACGCTGGTCATCATCCAATTTTCTAGACATCAGCGTACGATTACAGCAGTTAACTGTACATTCTGTAGTTTAGTGCGCAATTCGTGTTTGGAGGAAACTCATGTTGACCTCCGTGGCTGTAACGGTGCACCGCCCTGCGTCCATCTAGCTTTATTCTCCGAGTTCTTTGAATAAAACTTAACCTCGGAGTTAGCAACAATTATATTTTATATAAGGGAGGTCCCAGGTTCGAATTTCATATTCTAACAAGTTTCATGTTTTTCCTCATCCCCTACAGGCAAAAGTGGGGATAATACTTCAAATGAAATCCACTTCGTTATGTACCGTTTCATCGCTCATTGCACTATAATTTTATATTATGCCATTTCCACAGTGATAGACGACCATTAAATGAATCAAAATCGTGATTCATGATTTTCTCTGTTATATATTCCATTTCTTTCGTCTGTATTTCCTTATGAGCGTTGTTATACTCTTTAGCCTGGTAATTCAAAGGCGAATGTTCTACGTATAGTTCGCGACTGTAATCTTGAGACTTGCGGGATGAGGAAGTGGGGTGAAGGGTGAAGGAGGAAAGCGTCTGCCTTTAACGCTTCGGACTTCCTGCTTTTCCTTGCAAGTCTCAAGATTGCAGTCGCGAACAGTAGATGCGACTAGATTCGTCTCAGGTCATGGTGAAGTTGTTGTATCTTTCAAATACGGTAATGAACATTCAGTAAAAATGAGTTAAATTTTAATTTCCGAAGAATTATTAGCTTTTCAAGAAATTCTTTGCTATATGGTGGTAGTTAAAATACCAAATGTCTTCAAATCCAGTCAAAATTAGACAGACAGGGAGGGAAATGGCATTCATTTTGAAGCCAATGTGAAATTATTCGTGTTTATCATCTGTATAATAAGCATTGTTAGTTTGTCATCATTTGCTATAAAAAGATTTTGGGCTTAAGTAATAATATTATAGCGGTTGCCATGGTAATGTTACTAACGGAAGATTACTATGCACATGTAACCTCGATATGGGATCATATTTGAGATTTCAGGACATGTAATCGTATTATATTATATAAATATGCAAAGATGCGTAATGATATTCATGATATTAGTTTATTTTAATTTTTATTTGCTGCGTTCTGGAGACAGTGCATTGAATCAAAAGGCTGTTTACCTATCCTTTGCGTGCTTATGTAGGCTACATGTACTTTGTACTTCTATACAACGCAGGAAAATAGATGTTAAAGTTGCGGCTTTTAAAATTACGCAAAGATAACCAATTATTTTAATGTTTACATTCTGCTTTGTTACACTGTTTATTTGTTTTGCGTAATGCTTTAAATTCTTGACGAGCAATTTTCTAGTTATAAACAGTCGCTCTTCGTATTTTGGTTTCCCCTGAAAGAGGAGTATAAACGAGTGACGTAATCTTGGCGCAGTGTTGTGAACCGGCCTCGTCTCTTATATAATACAGTTCTACGGGTGATGACCGCTCGCTCGCCACCTGCTACGTGAGATACCAAACGCGACACACTTGCGATTCCGTTATGCTGCTGTTATTGATGTTCGCGTTCCTTCTTTTCTTTCCCAGCAATGAATCCCTGTGCGCCATTTTGTTGCCAGTTTATGGAGATTAGAAAATTTCTTGTTATTTTAAAATTGAGGAAGTTCATTTCTGGCTGGAAAGTGATGAGTCTTATCTCCTCAATGTTAATTCTGTCATATTAAGGTAAATTTTTGTAAACAGCTACATATTCTAGTCATGAATTATATTACGTATGTAATTGTTGGTTTTCTGTATTTACTAACATCTTTTCAATAATAATATACTTATAAACGGATTGTTTATATTTTTTATGTAAGACTAAATTTTTCAACATTTTCAATATAAAGACGTTTAAAAAATGTGCAGCTTTGTGTGTTAGAGATATAAAAAAACAGTATCTTCACAACAATAATTATAATTATTGGTATAAGTCGCATGCTTTGTTTTATTATTGCTTATTTAGTCTATAACAAAATGTACGAGAAAATTGGATGAAAAATATAAAAAAATTATTTTCAGGTTTACTACCATAAATAAGTCAATGGATACACAAAACTCATAACAACATGTGTACCATATTTAATGCACATGATATGACAAAATTAACAGCGTGGAGCCAGCGGATATAGGATCTTCCATTAGATTAAACAAATGAAAAGCATTAGCCCTTGGTCTCTACGTACATTTTAAGGTTTCGAAAGGATTCGGCCTTGTAAATTTTGTTTTGCAAAATATGGATACCAAAGTTTAAATGTAAACTTCTATTCATTTCAAACGTTATTCGATAATTTGCATTCTCTTCTTTTTATGAAATGTACTGGAATAAATAATGTATCCCTCAACACTAGATACTTTTCAATGAATTCTAGCATATGAGAGTAACACAAAGTGAAAACGAAATATTTGTGTTATAAACAAATAAGATCGGTTGTCCCTAAAGTGTATAAATGCCTACATATTCTTTAAGTATTGGATCTGAAATAATTATCTATATACAAAAGAAAAATAATATAGCTACTGTTACTTTATAATTCTTTTAACAGAAGTATGTTATGCCCTTTAACGTTATCGATAATTTAAGGTAAAATAGTGAAAAGTTAGGAAGTGTTATTTTTATGGTATTTCTAAGTTAACAAATTTAATTTCAAAATACTTCCCACTCATTCCTTGCGTCTGAAGGAAGTAATTAAATACAAATAAAAATTAATTTTCTATTCTACCTTGGCTTCGTGAAAATATCTGTAATAAAATAATTTTAAAGCTGTATACACACTTAAAAATCAAAAGGAAAACAAAAAGATTTTCGGTACCATTTTGTATTCTGAAATACAGTCTAACGTTAGCAGTAATTTCAAATAAATGTTATTTATCTCACGGCACGATATTGCAGACCTGTGCATGCCTCAGGCGCATACGAGCTACTCCAATGCACGTCGTACGTATTCGTTGCCACTAACCTGGCAGGGTGGCATGAGATCACCCTTTGCAGTGGTGTGGAGATCCCCCACAATATTGAATTGGCCGTCTAATGCTATTATCAGTGTACGTCCCTTTGTACTGGCAAAGATAATTCCGTGTGTACAAACTAAAATTAAATTCTCCCAACAAACTTTGGGGTATAGGTTATTTCCCAGGCCAAATATCATCGAAATCCTTGAAGCAGCTTTAGAGTTAAAACAAGTAGGCTGAGACATGAGCGGATATAAATAAAGTATGTATTTATTAGATTTGAATTTCATGGAGTTAAAGTTGTCGATGGAGGTTATAGGACCGCGTTCACTTGTAAGTAGATATTGACATTTAGGATAAACATTCTGCCCCCATATTCAGGGCTGAAATTGAAGAAGTATGTTCCTTCGAAATGATGGTATTTTGCCTACAAGTCTTCACTGTATTGGAATAAGGTATTTATTTTTCACTTTGCGTTCAAAACGCCCAAAAATTAGATACCTGAATAACATTAAGATTTATAACCGTATATAAATGTTACTCAAGAGAGAATAGTCTTCAGATTTAAGTTCAGGCGTGAAAAAACTTAAATTGGTTTACAGCACTTGGGGAGGCGTGTGAAAACTGGGGCTACACTTGCAAATCGGCCAGACAGACAACACGACTTCTGTATGGCTGCGTGTTCATTATTTAGCAGACACGTCCTGAATTTCTTTGTGACTACTTTGCCTTGAACTTAACTCCGGCCCATTGAGAATCGTCTGACAGTGTTGCCACGTGCCAGATAATGGGTATAGGTCCAGTTGTCAGTGAACTACCTGTTCTTTTCTGAAAGGAGCAAAACTGTTAACTTAAATCTTTTTAAATGTGATATTCATCCGAGTTTGATAGACACCAGTCAAATATTTTTGGCCCTGTTGCATTCAGATGAGGTTATAGGCCGAAGTCTTGGCGTTTTTCAATATTTTGGAAACGCACCTAGAATCATGCACATCATAAACCATGAAAATGCATAATAGCTAAAACTTAAGAGTGTAATTTACGATAATGCATAATAATAAAGTCGGAATTTGTATATCCTACGTAATATTATTACAATCGAGGATGTTGCGATGGATTGGGCAAGCACATCGGATGGGGAGATGGGAAATTAAATATGATTTTGGTTTGGAAATTAACGGAAAACTGCCACTTGCAAGATGGAATTGTACGTTTGAAAATAACGCTGAGATGGAACTCGGGAGATCGCTGTGTCAAGTCACAATGTCAGGTGGTAGTTCCGGAATCAAACCCTAACAACCAGCAGCTCAAAACGACCCTACAGTAACGGTTTTTGTAAACAAGAATAGAAATCTTCGGTTTCCATAACATCATGGAAATTATTTGCAGGGGTTAGGCGGTATTCTGTGAATAAAGCGTTGAATTTTCGGGTTTCATAAAGAACAGGGAATTTCTCGATCTGCTGAAAAGCTAGCAGCTTCTGATGAAGGGCTTGTACCATGGGGTTGCAGTCCGTCACCGTTCTATACGTAACTGTTCATGGACTTACGAGAAACAAAGTCACGTGATTCGCGGTGAAACAAGAACTGGTAATTCCCGAGGAACGGGACTTACCGTGCGGGACCCACGTCACTCACACCGCTCCGCGCCACCGGTCGAGGTTCGCGAAGTCAATGCGACTTAGCGGAAAAGAACAACTATTACGTCTCTTGATTCATGAGTAACGAAATGTTTAGTCAATTTGAGATTTCAGGTTCTAACTGTGGCTAGTACAAAGATGGCTTTTTTCTGGGTTATCGCACCGAGAATTTTGGTATAAATTTACCGACGTTTCATAGAGATGCTTGAAGTTTTTATCATCAGGGTGATGAATACTGATATCGGAGACAGCAAGCAGCTCTGAAACGTCGGTGAACTTTTACTAGACTAAACGGCAAAACTCAGAAGACATTCGTCTTCAGTGAATTTGTCTGGTTCACAAAAATGATTTAATAATGATGACATAAAGGTCAAATCTGAAATCTTAAGTGGCAAATAATTTTGAAACAGTGGCAGGTTAGATCCGTATTTATATGAAGGAACAAATATTAACAAAACTTTTATCTTTAAGAACAACTGCCATCTAGCAGTTTTTGGGCATGATTTCAACGAAATTGCAAAAAAGACTCATATTTACCTTTACTGTGTCTGTCTGTGCTGCGTGTAACTGTTCGAGAAATACTGACGAGATTTTCATTAAATTTTATATTGAGAGTTTTACAAAACTTTTTTCGAAATATTTAGATTTCATTTAATGTAAGACAGTAATAACAGACACTTCACATAAAAACCTACATTCATTTCTTATCGTATAGAAAAAAGTTTTAGAGATAAATATAACATTTTATACTCAGTCAAACTTATTATTCAGTATTGCTGTTTTAAGGCAATATAGAAGATGTTTCACTGAACCTTCTGATTGATTTTGATCAGCATTTGTATATGTCGGGGGTCGTTGATCGTCCACTACGTGTTCTTGCTCTTTATAAGAGAAATACATTTAAACAAACTTAAAACCGACAGGCAATACCAGCGCAAAAGTATCAGAACTTTTATGTTAAGCGTACATTTCTAAACTATTTTTTTATTTGATAAGACTTGCAGTTGTGTAACAGGAAATTGAACAGGCAGCTTCAACTAATTCAACAGAATGGCTAGTTTAGGAAGACTTAGATTGACATATATCAAAACGTATACAAAATTTTGATTGGAGATTCCAATGGAAATTAACTTTTAGCCGTAGATGGGGGCACTGTAGTACTTAAAGATGTAAATAGTTTGACAGTATGAGCTTTCCTGGTGAACGGGTTTCGTAACACGATGGCGATATTTAGTGCATTACTGTATCTGGTCCGAAAGTGAAATTTGTATTGCTGTGAGATTATAAGGGTGTCTACAAATGGTAACATTCTTGAAGATTTCTGTCTTCTAGGTTGTTGCGCCGTGTAGTATGGTAGATGTTAGCCAACGTTTCGGAGATCATACTGTCTCCGTCATCAGGGCGATGGAGGCAGTATGACCTTCGAAACGTCGGTAAACATCTAACTTACTACACGGCGCAACAACCTAGAAGACAGAAATCTTCATAATCACCGCTGTGGTAACCTCAAATCTTAAGGTAGCATTCTTCTTTTTATCATCGCCTTTAAGACTTAAGAGCAACGACCTTTTCCTACCCTTTAAAATCTCTTTTGGTCAATCGGTAGCTTAGAATGTAAACAAGATTTTCGACGCCTTAACTTTCTCCACCAAGTGGTCTAACCTGATGCTGAATGAGGGTCAGTGGGGTTATACGTATCTACGATTTTAGTTGAGCAATGTTCCATCGTGATTACATACTTCCTCCAGGAAGTCTGGAAATTGTATTCAGTTTCCGGTATAGTGGCAGTAGAACACGCCAATCGAGTAGGCTGCTGCCCTTATTACGGGCAAAATGTCAATCATATGAAACAATGATGTGGTATCTTTTATTGTTTGGTTTGTAGCAAGATGATGAGATATGAAAGATTTGCATGAAACGTTGGAAATTAAGCTTTAGCGGTCAGTTTTATTGCATTCATTATTTTAGATAGTGCCTTTGGGTAGGTTATTGAGTTCGGTCCTGACGTGTATTACGAATGCATACATATCGAAAGTCTATAGGGATACCGGCCATTGTAGCTAACTTTCTGTAGTTTTGGTCAGTCATTCAGGTGAATTTCGGGATTATACTTTGAAACAGACCACGATTACAATTTATCGTACACAATCGAAGTCTCAGCTATGCAATTTTAGGTTTCGAAACAGTGCGAAATTAACCACTTATTTTTCCTTTTCGATGCATTATAGTTCATAATAAGAGGCAATGAACCACATCTGAAAATATCAATAAGTTGAGTATAGCTTATCATTGGCCAACGAACGTAAGTCACTTCACTCAGTATCATAGACAACGTATTCGAATTATGGGAATGTCTGCTTGTGAGGTGGTGTATGACATTTACAAACAAAATATTACTGAACTTCGTAAACGTTGGTATTAAATTGTTAAACATATAAACACAGGAACTAACAATGGCCGTGCAGGAAGTTCTGTTGGCCCATTGAACTATTTTCCCCCCGTTAGGTTGTGTACCGAAGGAATGACACCCATCATTAAAAGTAGTATACAGAGTTAGTGATGTTTACTTTGAAGTGATGCTAATTTTTGAAGACGAGTTGAACATCCAGAGAACGCAGTCAGCAGTTCGTAGCTGCCTGTCTTCTGTAAGTAGTACACACGCCTCTTTCTGGAAGCGAGTTTCACAACAAAACGCCTCACGTCTGTAAAGAAACAAAAGTTAAGCGGAAAGTACATATGAGTTTCGTTTACAGTACATGCCACATTAGTCTGGTGGTATATGTCGTTCCAAGAATGAACAGACAACTGGTTCTTGAACTTTGCATCATATTCCCTAACCATCAGACAAATTAATGTCTTCCTGGTTTAGATTTTTGCATATAGTGTGGTTGACAGAAGTTTTTTAAAGTAGTCTGTCTCCTAGAACCCGTGGTGAAGATAGTTTGAACCGTGGACTAGCTCATCCAGGGGTTGTAACAGAGTAGCCGCTTTGATTTTTTAATACAAAACAATTAGATAATGAATTATGTCAAACAGAATATTTATAAACATTGTCAATTCATCATAAACTTTCGTATTTCCCCTGTAATTTTCTGTAGACATTATATAACACATAAATTCCCCGTGTTAACCATTCATGACTGACACTGCTTGCTATGAGCTACAGCGTCTGACAAACAACGAATTTTCAACTTCTGCGCACACAAGGTCATGCGTTCGCTTACAGTTTTGTGTGTGCACAAGAACCACGATTAAACAAGTGTTCTGTTACACATTACGGAATATCAACCCTGTCAGCCAGTTGCTAACTGCTGTCAGCTATACCACGCAGCCAACGGTGATATTATGAACACCTACATTATATTCGCGTATTCGTAAAGTGCCAGTAATGACGTGTGTAATTGTTTACTCCTTTAAAATGTCTATTTCATTCATTTAATGTGTGTATATATATGAAGATATCCGTCTTCTAGGTTATTGCGCTGTGTAGTCTGGTCGATGTTAACCAACGTTTCAGAGGTCATACTGCCTCCGTCATCAGGGCGATGAGTCTGAAGATTTCTGTCTTCTGGGTTGTTGCGCTGTGTAGTCTGGTCGATGTTAACCAACGTTTCGGAGGTCATACTGCCTCCGTCATCAGGGCGATGAGTAAGGCAGTATGACCTCTGAAACGTTGGTTAACATCGGCCAGACTACACAGCGCAATAACCCAGAAGACGGATATCTTCATACTCACCGCTGTGAGAACCTCAAGTCTTACGTGTGTATATGTCTTTTTGGGACATTCTGTATATAACAAATACTGCTGTTGGTAAAACTGTACACAAATGGAAACGCAGCGGATATTTTAAATCTGCGATTGGTGACACTGCTATATCACCGCAATTGACGTCGAACGATTATGTAAGATATATTTCATCACGAAAAGACTTGTGATCGTGCAGATGTGAGGACCAAGGTGTTTGACGTGTTAACGCGGCGTGTTGACATTGCAAGTCACGACCAAGCAGGCTGGACGTCACGATCAGGCGTTTTCAACGGTAGCAAGCCTACCAATCTTTTCACTGATAAGCTCGAATTACGTCTTTCAGATAGTGGTAAGTTGTTTACACGCCATATATCAAATGCAGTGGGTATTATTGTCGAATGAGATGAAACTATGATTATGGATGATAAGATAGACAAGAAGAGATGACTTCTGTCCTTCAAACGAGAATTCTCGTCCAGGAATATCTGGAATTTAAGCTCTGAATTACTGTCGTTGAACAGTAACACTTAAAATACTAATTGTTTTCATTTGTAAATTTCGTGTTTCAACAGTGTTCCATCAGTTAAATTCATGCGTATTGTACAGACGTACTAACTCCATGATGTGGTGTCGTTCTTGAGAAACTAATATTCGCCAGGGTAGTCAAGAAATTTCTCGCTTTATATGGAACCCGAATGTTCATTACCGTGGTCACAAAACTCTAAAAATGTTCCCACTCCTGAGCCAGATGAATCCAGTCCACACTTTAGTATTCTTCAACTTTAAAATCTTACAAGGTCTAGAAGTACCTGGGAGGACAGAACAGAAGAAAACAGAGAGGCGGAATAATTTTAGTTTAAAATATTTCACCTTTGTATTCACGGAAACAGCTTTGACGTGTGTATGGGAACTCTTCTGTTCAAATGCTACATGCTTGTGGGAAAGATTCTATCCGGAATGAGACGTATTATTATAGGCTAACAAACTGATTTTATTTAGTAAAATATTCGCCGAATAGAAGTGTATCCCAAATATAAAGGTAAATGTCATGTATGATAAAAAAATTTGCCCAATGAACCGTCTTTTCAGAAATTCCATGAAGTACGATTTGAAATTCATATAAAGTAGGTCTTAATTAGATTGATTTTAGCAAAAATTAAAATTCCTCCAGTTTTAGTGTTGACTGACATACTAAATTTATTCAAAATTTGTTCTGAAGTTTATGTCCGTTTTGTCCACTGTGTGCATAATAGTTTGCCGAAAGATATGTAATAAAGCAGTAATTATCAAGAAGTGTTTTAGGGTGCTGTAATCCACAGTTACGATATAGAAATCCTTTGCGCTGGAGCTGGAGAAAACATAATATTGCTCTTTGTCCAGTCGTGTCATATAGGGAAACTTGAATCGCAGTATATGGACAGTTATACGCTGTATGATCTATGGGTAGGATAAAATCGAATCCGACTGGTCATCTTATAAGGATACAATCCGAAGTTGTCTGCAGGCGGAACCTTATATGGATCTCTAAACGAGCGAAGTATCTGCTTTCTTTCGTAAGTCACTTAAGACTAGTTTAAAGCTGTTTCTATTTCTACACTTGGGTAAGATTAACTTTGTTTGTGCGTAAACAACTTTTCTCCATATCCCCCCCCCCCAAAGAGTCAGAAGCATAACTATAGTATAGAGAACTATCTGTTAAGTTATATAACAACGCTGTTTCAACCTCAGATGGGCCGAACATCAGTTCCTTTGTTGGAAAGTTAAGATCCGTTTCTGTTTTTTAAACGCTTCTCACAACTTTAGAACACCAAACAAGGGCATTTAGAGCGGTATAAATGGCTTTGCACGCTTATCGGACTACTGAAATGGTGATTCAGTTTTGTGGGATTACTAGTCCAAGCACAGATAATAAATTTACCATAAAGTATAGTGAAAAATCTTATTCTTATTTATTACGAAAACTGCGAGGACTGTACGCAGTCTAGAGCAGTGGTATTCAACCGGGGTTACGCGAATACATCTTAGGGGGTACACGAAATTTAAAATATATATATATTATTTTATGATAAACACTGAATAATCAGTAATGTAATTTATTTAATTTATTTTGGATGTAGATTATATACTATGTATAACTTGAATTATACACTAACTTTGGGGGTACAAAGTTGGAAGAGAAATTATATCTGGGGGTACGCGAACAAAAAATGGTTGAATACCACTGGTCTAGAGTAACGGACGTGGAGGTCTATGATGAACTCATCCTCCAACTACGAATTAAAAGTTTTATTGGTGGGTGTCAGAATAGTAACCTGGCTCTTTATAGATTCATCACAGGGATAAAATACGTTCTAAGGAAAACATTATAAATAGCCTGAAGTTTGAAACCTTACAGGAATCGTCCTTGATGCATAAATAATACTAAGCTTAGGAAAGACTAACTTAAATTGGCATCGCTGAATAAAATGACACAACCTGTGTTATTGACAAAAGTATTAATAGAATGGTTTTAAATTTCGCACCGTTAGGTTGGTAATGTTGGTATTCAGTTCCAGTGATAAATGGAATAATATAAGAGCGAAGTTTTAAAGCTTTGTGGGCAAAAATATATTTTTAACGTTTCTTTTACGGTTTTACAGTCATTGTTTATCAACATTGGTAGTATGCAATTTGTGATCAACTTATTGAAACAGACATCCATTACAGACGTTTTAAGTAAGTTATAACTCGACTTATATATGCGTTTGATCAGAATTTATTGTGTAAATTAATGAGCTGATTAATTTCGCGGTGGAAACTAGAATGATCCAAAGTTACAGGAAACAGGAGACAGGAATCTATAAAAATTGGGGGGGAAATGTTAAAATCTGAACGAGTAAGAGAAGAAGAAAAGTTGGGAGAAAATTATGAAAAAGAGTCTTAAGAAAGAGGAAGAGAAGGAAAATAAGACGAGGATGGAGAATAAGAAGTGGAAAACCACCAGATGATGGAAACTTGAAGACACGCACATTTGCTTCCGGCTGCAAGAGGCTACGATCACTTTTCGCCGATAAGTATGACGATGTCCTTCGCCGTCTGGAAACGTCGACCTACGGGTGCCTCGCGCGTGGGCCACAGTTTCAGAGGCAGATGAATACTGCGGGACTCCTGCCTCTTTAGTTTTTAAACAAATGATCTTTAACAGCGTTTATTACAACACATTTACAACGGAGTTGCGACCGCGTTATTTGTTTGATTGACATAAGTGAATTCTTTAAAATTACATTAATCCGGGATGTGCAGAAGGCATCGTCTTTCAGTGACCTTTTTCTTCAGGCAGTCTCAAAGAGGTCAATGTCGAATATAAAATTTAGTCCAAAAGTAACTTAACTTTATTTTAGGGGATAAGTAACGAGTTTTTGTATTAGTATGACTACTACAATTTGTAATGTTCATAAATTCTAAAAGCCTTAATCCTATTTTCTGTTTGTCTTTTGTTCTTTTGTTTCAAATACAAACCTAATGTCACAAAGTTAAAGCATTCTGTGGGGTCATAAGCTGTTTACGTTTAATTCCTTAAATATTTAAAAGATCAAAAAAAATTTGAAGCAGAATTCTGTACATTTTAAAGATATTCATATTTTGTCATGTTACAGTACGAGGGGTAGTTTTAATAAAATCGATAAATTAGATCCGAGTTCCGTATTTAAATATGGATTAGTTATATTAAAAGATGCAGAGAAAATTTTTAATTTGTCTCAGAAACTTGGATGCAGATCCAAATAACAATTATAACAACAAAGCGTGAATAAAAAGGACTTTCATATTTTTTGTGGAACTGCTAAATATTCTCATTTCCTTCATTAAGGCCTATGCCTTCGCATGGGGAGAAGTCCCTATGAAATGTCTGAAATAGATCTAGATAAAACTTTTATCTATATACTCCATTAATTTATAATCATCATATATCGTGAA